GAAATATCTTAATTTCTTTTCTATAAATATGATATTTTATGATTGACATATGCCCGATCGGGCATTTTGACCAGCCTGTAAAAAGTTAAGTCACAAATATTTTCAGACATTTAAAAATATATTTAGCTCCATGTTCATATGGATATTTTAAAGTTTTATTGATCAATGAAAGTATGTGAATTTGTAGAAAAAGGATTAATTTACAATCTGACAGTCTGACTGAAGTTCAGAATCAGATGTACTTAAGTTATTTCTTGCATGCAGATTCACACATACAAAAAGATACTTACAGCGTGTTTAGTGTTTTAGAGAAAATATTTCAATTGAATAATATTGTTTTTATCTAAACTCCATATGTTACCCTTAATAGAAAAACTCTAAACCTGTTATTACTCTGAATATTACACAAATGTACATTATATTTGCAAATAAAAAACCTATAATTTTTTTAACAGGGACTTCAAACTATATGGGAAAGAAGTGGCCAATTGTAAAGAAATATGCTGTTGTAGAACTGGCACCCCCAACACCTGCTGAAGTTGAAAGGCATTTGGGGAGTTTGCAAGTTTGATTGGAAAGGCAAAAAAAGGAGGTGGAAAGACCTCACAGTATTGTATGTTGATTTATTATTGCATAAATATTTATCTTATTATCATTTTAATTTAAGGTGAAATTTAGTTGCTCAGACTACAAAATGGGACACATCTAGAATAATTCATATCCAGATGAGATTATGATATATAACTTAAATGTTTCTAAGGTGACTTTAAAGAGTTCATGCATGTTAAATTACTATATTTAAAGTAGTTTAAATACTGTTATACATGTACTTAGAGGGGCGTCCGTGGCTGAGCAGTTAAGGTTGTTTACTTCAAACCACTTGCCCCTCAACACTGTGGGTTCAAATCCCAACAGGGACTTTGGATTCTTTCATGTGAGGAAGCCATCCAGCTAGCTTACGGAACGTCGGTGGTTCTACACAGGTGCCCGTTCGTGTCTGAAATAATGCACGGAAGGGCACCTGAGGTCTTCCTCCACCAGTAAAGCTGGAACGTCGTGATATGACCTATACTGTGTCGATGTGACGTAAAAACCCAAAACAAACAAACATGTATATATGTTTTTTTATTTTCAGCAAGCAACACTAAACACAGTTGTAATGTTTGAGGTGATATTATGGTTTTTCGTTGGAGAGTGTATAGGCAAGAGATCATATGTTGGTTACCCAGTGAAGGTTCCTAATGCAGTACATAAAGAAATCTCTTACACATAACATTATATATAGTTCCAGTGATCATTATTTAAACTAAACATTTCAGGAATTTTGACAGCAAGAAATACTTTTAAAGGATAAAAAGGGAAAAGTGAAAAGGTTAAATTGATTAGTATTGTTTTTTATGGTAAAAAAGAATTCAGATGTTGAAATTTATTGACTTGCTTGTTTCATAGACAAATTTAGTGATGATTTGAATTCTTTTGTGTAAGTAAATAAATTTAAAAACAACTAGTATTATGTGTTTGATATATTTTGTTTATGAGGTATTTGTATGTTTAAACTTTGTTGTAGAATTTAAGTCCTGTCAGGCAATGTTGCTTTTGGAACAGAATGATTTGAGGACACACAGACCATTTTTAAATTCTATTTTATAGTAAAAGTGTATTTCACAAGACCAGCAGCAAACTCCCTGCAATATTTCTTCTTCTGATCCAACACTACAAGCAAATGGACTGTCCAACATTTCCAGTGTTAACAGTTTAATGCAAATGGACAAAATCTAATTAATACATAGTCACTGTCTGACCTGGTTTACACAAAAGAACACAATGGTTTTAGTTTGTGTAACTTTGTAAGCAGTGGACCAAACAATGAATAGGAAAGGGGGGGGCTAATGTTTTCAGTGCTGTAAACAAGAAACTGTTGAATAAGACTCACTTTAATAGCCGTCCGGTTAGCTCGAAAGGTAGAGCTTAATACTCTGAATCAGGCGACCCTGATTATGTCTCCCAAAATTTTAGGAGACGTGTTGCCTTCTGTCCATCTGTCTGTATTCAGCTTGTCCAGCCTTCACAGGTCAAACTACTGGTGGGATTTCAACCAAACTTTACAGGAGTGATCAGTACTGTCTCTAGTTGTGCACATTACAGGCACATTCCCCTTCGCTGCACAAAATGGCCGCCAGAGCTAAAAATAGAAATTTTTTGTTGTGCTTTCACAAGTCAAGCTGCCGGTGGGATTTCAATGAAACTTCACACGACTCCTGATAAGTGACCATACATAGATTTGGGAGACATATGTTTTTGTGACAAAAACCCTTGTAGTTGACAATGTTTTGCACATGTAAATTTTATAAGTGTCACTTGTAACCACAGCAATAAATGTGAATCCAGTAAGTCCAAGATAATTTCATTCAACATGTAATTGGTATATAAAGAAAGCATGTAGCTCAAAGAATGTCTCTAGTATCTAACCAGTACCAATGTCGTACAATAAAACCAACCATTCTTAAGTTGAGAGGCAGAAACTTTTACTACTAGGCCACTGCCTGGTAATTTATGCTGAAAAAACAAGTAAGCAGATGGGGATCTGCAGTTTAGCTTTAGATCAGAAAATACAGAAACTTCAAAGGTGTTTGTTGGAAATGGCAGCCAATATACCTTACATAAATATCAAAATGCACAGATGTATATACTGGGCTTGTGGTATACTGGTGACAATTTAAGGTTTAAATCTACTTTCCCTCACATAGTTGTAGTTGGGGTGTTTTTGAAATAAAATGTTATAAAAAGATAGAATTTCACCACAAACTCACATTTGTATGGAACTAGATGATTACTACATGTCGTGTCCGACAAAAAAACATCTTAAGTTTTTGCAATGTTTATTATGCTGAAATTTTAAACTGTTTCAATGATTTATTATGTAAATAGTGACTTAAATTAAAAACACACCCGTTAACCATTTGCATGTTGATTCGTTGGTTGCGTGCTTGCTAAGTTTTTGTATTTTCTGATCGCAAGATCAGTAAATACATAGCTAACATCCACGGTCTAACACAAAATTTCCTCACAGACCTAACAACGCAAAGAGGTTCTCACTCAAAACTGCTTAAAAACCAGCAATTTAAAAGAAAGAATAATTTTTAATGTAGGCATTAAACGAATTACAGTGCATTTAAAGTTTACATTAGTCAATAGAAATATGAGGTTTTACAAATCACAAATTTTCGGATGAATATCTTTTTTACCCAATGAAAATGTTCGACTATTTCCGTAAAGCTTAATGAAAACGCTATTTTTAGCTATGTCGATTACCCGAATACTCCAGAGCATAGTACACAAATAAATCAGACTGTCGAGTAATGGAATATATACATGTCTGACTGTTTTGGCGAGAAGATTTTCGCTAAATTATTTTCATCAGTGTTTAACAACAGGTTTATCGTGAACAAAATACCTCGAAATTTAATAAGGATTACAAATTACGAAATGAAAATTCTCAAAATTTTAGAATTACAATATATTTGTTTTTATTCACGCTACATACGTATTACTTCACTGTGGTGCAGAGGTAGCGCGCTCGTTTAGGTGTGAGAGGCTAAGGTTAAAATCCTTGTTGAGGCAACTTTTTTTTGAAGTGTTTTTTAAGGAAATAGCCACGATATGCAAGGATAAAGTGTGGCTGTAATAAAAAATGAAAAATGATTTTTGATGCAACTCTAGGCATGCAAAATTCCATATGTATCAATCACAAACTGTTAAACGCAGTCACTGCGTAAGATGAATAATAGTATATAAAAATAAACTTATACAGGAAAGATCAGAAAATACCACAGAGCATGCAGCCCTTTGATTTTTATCCTGCAAAGGATAGCTGCACAATATATCATAGAAAATTATGTCTACAAGAAGAGGCAAAAGGAAAAAAAAGAGGACATATCTCTGAAATCAGGTTTTCAAATTGACATATTGTAAGTTCTACCTGCATCAAACTGTCCTGTTCGCTTCATGTTAACAGGCTTGATGATAGGGGTGTTTATATCTGTGTCCAGTGAATCATGACAACCCTAAAGGCCTCAACAGACGGTAGGATTTAGTTGTACAGCATTAATTAGAGATAAGATGTACAATTTTCAAAGCTATACAACACTTGCATTCAGACGGTATTAAAAATTTTCTACACTGTAAGAATCATCTGAGGTTTCCCATAAAAAGGATCCCTTGACATTGATCCTTTACATACTTTACTCACTAAATACTTTTTTCGCCATGAGTAATGATTGAAACACCTCCATTAAAAAAAAAAATATATATATATTTATTTATTTAATGTGAAGCCTGAACGAGACTCAAACCTGGGACCCTCGGAATACCCTACTGCGGCTCTACTGACTAAGCTATCTGGCCGCCTACAAACTACCTCCCCTCCCATAATTAGAGAACAATTCAATTCAATACCATGACATAATCATTTTCGGAATAATTTGGGATTCGAACATAACACAACTTTGGGTCTCCTGAAGAGTTTTTCAACATCATTTTTACCCCATCTTACTACTATGTTTACCTTTTAGCCCTAATTGTTCTGGAATTTCATTCATTACACCCATTATCAGGAGATAATTTGGTTATCTGTTACTTGTCATTGTGGGAGGTCTGAAAAAATCAGTACGACAAGATTTTCAAAATAGAACATGTCCCATCCCTTACATCTAGACATAAGGTGTCTGAAATCAAGAAATAGTAGCCTTCACACATTAAGATTTGTCTGTACATCTTAGTTTTAATTGGTGGTGTACTTCAAAATCCTACCGTCTGTTGAGGCCTTTAGGTCACAGATATCTTGTGGAAACTGCAAATTTTACTATTATGCATATTTAATAACTTTTAACATATATGTTGATGTTTTTAGACCTGTTTTGTGTGGGAGAGTAGCTTTAATTGTTGCCAATATAAATGTACTAAGAGACTCAAAGACGGTAAAAACACTAACAAAAGAACAATTCATTAACAAATATATTTAATGTATGCATCATTTTGGACACCTACATTTACATACAGCATTTCATAATGATTCCAGTTTTTCTTTAATTACCTATGTTTAGTACATTTGTCACGTTAGATAGTGTTTAATAATCCACTGACATCATTACACTAGAAAATACCAATAATTGCTGTTCACATACATGTACAGGCTCAATTGGGTCTGTAATCCTTAAAAAAGATCGGATAAAATTTGTGTTTTACATTCTTATTCTTCAATCACTGCATTCAGTCTATGCATTCTTTTTAAGAACACTACCACTTATATTGCCATGTCCCAATGTTTGCATGATTCACAAACTATCTTGTCTAAATGTCTGATATTAATTGTAGATTTCTAGAATACTTAAATTCTTAATTTCCCTATATGGTGCCCCTCGTTCCATTTCGTTTCGTTCCGTTTCGCAAAGTACCAATAGCCTTAATGGTAACATTTCAATTTATCATTCAAAACAGAATCAATTTGAACCAAGTCTTTATTTACCTAAGTGTTTATGTTTGTGCTTCTGTTTATTTTCTCAGGCTTCACAATAAAAATTGTCCTAAAGTATGAGACATATAAAAGTTATTTCAGAACAAGTATACTGACTGTATAGGAGAAATGTGTTTTTGTTGGCTAGCTAGTCATATTCTAACTATCCTTCTCAACTTATTGTATACTACCTTCTTAGTATGATCATAGTTAACAAATCTATTGTTGTTAAACAAAACTGCACATTTATAATTAAGGTGCAAAAGTATATGAAAGAGATTTTTTGTTTTCCATGATTGCTTCCAATTATTTATGAGTGGAAACAGATTTATTGCAAAAGTTAATCAACACCAGGACTAAAGCACTATATGTCAGGATAACACTTTCTGAAAGACGATATCTGACTGGACAATTCATTTCAAATGTTTGGTCGTCAATCAGTGTTGTGGTATATAAAACTATTCACATGTACATCCCTCTCACAAGTCTCATCATTTTAATCCTAGTCTCTTTTTCTCCTTGTCTTTCCTCTTCACTATATCAATATTTCTCTCCTTCCAATTACTTTTTCTCAGTTTTATTGGTCTGTTCCCAACATATTTACCTGAAGATAAAAAAACAAATTTATTAAAGGAAAGATAACATTTGAATCCTCAGCTGGTTTCCTAAATAAATAAAGGATATTCAAGTTTCTTCTATAAATACAGGATTTATTTTCATCGAGTGGTAGCCACAAGTGAAATATGATCATTTTTATACCACAAGATGAAATTAAATCCCATATTACCGGGTAATAGAAAATTTGAATTTACTGTTTTATTATATACTTGTTCTCTTTTTTAACCTTATGAATAGGAAGAATTCCCTTTTAATTTTGTGTACTGGCTGAATTAAGAAGAAAGAAATCTGGCAAGACACCAATGAAAATATGGTAAATATGTTTCACTGCAGTGAAAAATAAATTTTTACAGTGAAAATACATAAAATACAAATAAGCATTTTATTTCATTAATATTTCCCAATATTTCATTTATAAGTTTATAATAAGTACATGTATTTGTAAAAAGTAAAATGAAAATGTAAAAGTAATTGGAAAAAGATCTACTATAATATATATTTTACTATAATATTATTGGCACTCATAATTCTTCTATAATCGTACTGATAAGGATTCTAACACATTTTTAAATGAGATGCAAAATGGTACCCCAATATGACAGTAAAATTTCTTATTTCTTGGGGTTTATTTTAAAATCGCCACTGCATCATGAGGTATATAATGACATGCATTCAAAATATTGTCGCATATTATTTGCATGTATATACAACTTTATATATCTAGCTTGAATTCTATAATAACTCAGTTATAACTCAAATTTTGATTTTCTGTTACCAAAATTTGTTTTTAAATATCATAAAGGTCAGTGTATGTGACTAATGTTTATCCTTCCCTTAATATCATTTATCATATCTTACCATTCATTTCTCTCATTGCACGAACATAATCTGTTGGATCTTTAAAGCTCACAAAACCATATCCTTTAGTTTTATTAGACCTTTTATCTCGAACTACCTTTGCCTTTACAAATGAGGTAAATTTACTGAAAGCCCTGGCTAGAACTTCGTCTGTTACCTCATTACCAAGATCACCACAGAATAATCGAAAATCATCTGTAAATGAAAATTAAAGAGTATAATATAGCACAACTTTTTTTTCTATGAAACATTATTTTTTCTCTAAACTTTTCTGTGATGCAGACTATATGATACTTTTAATGCTACCAACACATTTCATAGAATAATTAATAGTAATTAAATATTAGACAACAACTTGACAGATAAATGATAGAGCTAACATAGTTTAATATACATGTATTTAAGTACATGTAATTAATAGATGATTAATTTTTAAACAGTAAATTATATCAAAGTCTAAATATAATTTCGTACAGTGTAAACACAGAAACATTTTCCTTATAAAGTTCATTAATAGAACAACTATTTATCTCGTGAAAATATATAAGTTCTGAATTTATTCAACAGTAGTGGGTGACGTCAGAAAAGAAAACCTGGCCCTGCTTTGAGTATGAAATACCCTAAATATGACAAGCTAAGATGCTAGAAGATTTCATAGAATTCAGTATAATGTCTAGTTAGACTGCAACCGGACACTACTTTGGTCAATTTTACGTCATTAAATATATAAATTGTACTGCTCTCCAAAGAAGGAAGGGTATGATGTTTCGTTTTCTTTTGGGTACAGATTTTGTTGTGGTTTGGTCTGTTTCTGAAGTTTTTAATTGTAAAATGACAATTCATTTGATATTTCTAAGTAGATTTAGTTCTTATAACTAGACATGGATGGCGATTTGTCAGTCAGTCTTCATATGGACAGTGTGACAGCAAGATGACAGGGTAACATAATTCTCCCTCTAAATGGCATAATTATTGTAAATTTCCAAATGCTTGAAAGTATGGTGATCTCTAACTGTTTAAACACAGAAAACAGTTTAAGCTGTCAATTCTGTTACACTGGGTTATGATTAAACAAGTATGTATCATACACATTCTGATTCGGGCGTTACCATACTAAATGGTAGTAAATTTTGTTTGAATAAAAAAACAAATGGATTGGATGTACTTATCAGGTCAGAGTTAGGGTCAGGTAAACATATCACAATTTTTTGGGGCCTAATCGGGTAAAATATTTGGTGCATTATCAATTTCTAAATAAGTATAGATTGATTCCATTCTCTAGAGCATTTATCATTTTGAGGTGATAAAAGAGGTCCCACTCCAAGTCGCCCTGCAATAGGAGGGCCCCTGGGTGAGAAATTGCCTTAACATGCAAACTCGCCTATATTTATACAGTTGGTATAATAAACTGGCATACAAGAGAGGAAAGCTCTGAAAATAATATAAGCACATGTATAACAATATACCTGGGTCCCATTCACCAAGAGATGGATCCTCCCATGTTGTTCCTGCAGCCATACGTATAAATTTCTTCTTTTTTTCTTTCTTCTCCTTTTTATTTGACATAATTTGACTATCAATATCCATATCTGCTACATGTAGATCATCATCTGGTTCAGGTTGAGGTTTTATAGGTGGTGGCATCGTCACTGTGTATACAGATTTACTTTCCTCAGATGTTGACTTCTCTGATGTACCTATACAACGTTTATACAAGGTTAACTTTGTTTAACTTATAAATAATTGAGTGGCAGCATCGCCAAGTGGTTAACACATCAGATTAGTAATCTAAGGATTGCTGCCCGCGGGTTTTAAAACCCCAAAGGGGCCTTTTTTCCATGAGAAAGAAATTTTTAAATTGGGTTGTATGGTTGTTCGAACGATTTGAGTGCTTAAAAAGTTTGGTTCCCAACAAAAACAAAACTATTAAATGTGTAAAAATAACTTTTTCCTTTTTGTCTGGTGTTTTTTTTTTAAAAATGCAAAAATTAAAAGTATAAATTTTTCTTTGTGAAATCGTGCGTTTTGTTTAAAATAAATTTGAATTATATTAACTCTTTTTTAAAAAATTCATAATGTATTTCAAATGAAAAATTTAAAAAACCCATTTGATAAACCAGCTTTTTGAAACCTTCTTCATCCATTCTTTTTTTCTTTTTTTTTTTTCTTTTTTCCCTTTCTTCATTTTAAAAGGGGGAAAAGGAAAAATAAAATTTAGGTTTTTCATTCCTTGTCTTTGTTTTTTTATGTTCTCCTCCTTTTGAGATTTAAGTGTCGTACATTCCAGGACCAAGGGTGACCAAAGTTGGGCGAGGTCCTGGCATACAAATCCTGGTCTTTCATTCCATAGGAGGAGGACCTCTCATAGGTCCTGGCCCAGGTCCCAGCCCATATGCCCTGGACCCATTGGGCGGCCCGTGATGATATCCGGGACCAGGTCCCATTGGACCCGGTCCATAGGGCCTCCAATGGAGGTCGTGCATGTGGTGGTGGGGGTCTCATTCTTGGTGGTCCTGCCATAGGAGGTCTGTTGGGTGGGGGAGGAGGGGCTCTGTGCCGTACTGTGGCGGCATGAAGGATGGTGTGGAAGTCATTGCAGGTGGAGGGTGGTGGTGGGGGCTGTAAGATCGGGAAATTAGATCTAAAGCTGGCTTCTTTGCTGGTGGTTCATGACGGCCAACTGTAAATAGATGATTAGTACATGAAATAGTTATATTACAGAAATTTGTTAAGAGAAAAGAAGAAAAAAAAGAGGAATTTTTGTTTCATTTAAGTAATATCCTTTGCCACCAAAATAAGTTTTTCCCCAAAAGAAATTTTTTCTATTATTAGTTTTGCCTTTTAAAAACTAAAAATAAAATGAAATTAATAACCTGTAGTACTTAACTTGTAATGTAATTTTCATTTTCCCCAAAAAAAACTTTCTGTTTCAGCTGATAACAGTGCAAAAAGTCTGCTATTTTGCGTATTTTTCTTTATTATTTTTAACCCACCTATACTGTATTTGCCCCCCCTTCAGCATAAACCCCGTCATCTTTTCATCGTCGTACTCTCCCTGATGTTGTGTTTTTTTGTTCATAGTTTTCTGTACTTGTCTTGAGCCCCCAGTTGCTCGGTCCCCGGTCAGAAAAATTGTCAATTTTAAATCCCTGTGTGCGTAAAATATGGTTTTAGCTATAGAAATATCTATCCTGATTTACTAAAATTTAAAACCCCCTTTAAATATCTATAGGTAAATGGTGGAATTTATGCACAAAACAAGCACATATGTGGATAAATGGTAACACTGTGGGTCAAACTTTTCACCATGACAACTAGAACAAACTTGAATCAAACTTTAATCTATGATAATATTGAGTATTACCAGTAGCTGAGAAAATTTACATTAAACCTTTGTGTAAAAGATAATAGTGCTTCCATGCATAATATACAACAGAATGAATTTTAATGAGTAACACAAAATTCAGGAAGAAATAGTTGAGCTGTAAGTCAAATCTATTACTTACTTCTTGTTGTTTTCTCTGCCTCTCTTCTATTGACATTCCAGATTGAGCTCGAAGCATTTTCAACTGTGCCGACACCTGGTGGTATGTATTAGAGCCAATTACAACACGTGGGAGGTCACTCGCAGATGGTTCAGATAATATCTCTTGCTCAAATCTGAAAGAAGTATAAAAAAAACCCCATTAAATTGATATAATTATGATACAAAACATGACAGTTTTTCATACTAAATCATGACTTCTTGTTGGTACCGAATAACTAAATTTTTTCAAAAGTACAGTCATCTAAGCCTGTAACAATTTTGAATGTCTGAATCATATCCCCTCTTAATATACCATGAGTTAGACTTGGCAGTTTAAACGGTCAATGTATGAACTAGATATTTCAATGATGGAACTAGTTTTGTTGCTCTTTGTTGAAGTTTTTTTTGACTTGATATATCTTTGATTAAGTATTGATTCCACACAACATTTCTAAATTCAACATGCAGACGAATCAATGCTGTATACAATTTAATAAAGGTATACTCATCTAAATACTCAAATGACCTGATAATGAGACCTAGGATACAGTTTGACTTGTTAATCTTTGTAGAAATATGCTTGCTAAATTCAGGATTTTTAAAAAAAATAACTCCTAGATCACATTCCTCTTGAGTATCTGATAGAGGTTTGTTGTTCATTATATTTGTGCCAAGTTTGATCAGTATGAAAACATTTTTTTATAGTTTCATAGCAATTTGAACTTGTAACAGGAGGCTTTTCAATGAAAACAGCCATTTTTCACAAAATGCTCAAAAATGCAAGATAATATAGGGGGTAAAATCTGGGTTACGGGAACTTTTATAGCGATCTCGACGAGCTGGCACGAAGGGCCTGCTCGCAAAGCGAGCTTTATGGTAACGCGAGTACCTGCTAGGTGATGGTTTTGAAAACTTTCGTCCAAAGTATCGAATTGACACATCGCAACTATCGAATTACAAGATAACGATAAAAGCCAGGGCCTTTTTTCACAGGTTGGGGAAGCAGCCCAGCCCTTAATTTTGGGGAAAAATTACATGGTATATTTGCAAAAGGGGAAGAAAAAACTTGATGTAAATTCAATTTTTGGGGAAAACTGCATGATTTTAAAGAAATTTTCTTTGGGGAAGCAGCCCTATACCGGCCCCTGTTATAGAAGGTAAAAAGGCCCTGAAAGCTGATGTACTCTGATTGAAAACGCAGTGATTTTTCTCACTTAATTGGGAAGAGGCCTGAGCCTCTTGATTTTGGGAAAAATTATCGCTAAAATTGCTGATTTGGGAAGTAAAAAAGCTGGTTTAAGTTCAGATTTTTGGGAAAACTGCATGATTTTAAAGAAAATTTCAATTGGGAAGAGGCCTTTTTTCGGAGTCTGTTATATAAGTAGAAAAATCACTGAAACGGAAGCGTAGACTGGTGTCCTGCGCACTTATATGGGAACCATAATAGAAAGGAGGAACCAGAATAAATGGAAGCAGTGTATAAAATACCGATTGACAAATAAAAATGAACGATTATTTTAAACTATTTCATGGTAAAAGAAAATCGAGCTCCCTTTGAGGCTTTGCCTTTTTCATATTAAAAAGATGTGTACTGTATGGTTATGTTTGGATAAGTCAAAATACTGGAGAATTTATTATATTTTTTAATAAACCTATACTGGCATGCGAGCAGTTCCCGTACAGAAGCAGTACCCGTATTTTTCATTTAAACGCTTGATTTTTACTTGCATTCTTCAAAAATTCATTTCAAATCAAGCAGATACATAAACGAGACAAAATCTAATTGTCAGTTCGGCAGTACGTATATAAAGTCTCATTTTAAATCACTTTCACCTGTGCGTCGTCAAAACGTGACCTTGTTTTCTCTGGGGGATTCCGTCCTTGCGCGCATGCGCAAAAATACTTACACGTGAGGCTTGTTAAAGGGTTTTCCACTAATACCACCTGTTTACAAATAAGTAGGCAATGAGATGAAAAATTGTTTAATTATCAGAATGTTGACCAATATTACTATAAATAATAATTTTATGGCTTTGATGCGTAAAATATCATGCATACAAGCATGTTACTGCATATGAATGCGTTGGGGTAACGGTACCGGGTAATAGATACCCGCGTTTAGTCTACGCTCTATTTCCTGAATTACATCTATTTATCTCTTAGAGAATGGTCTGTTCAACAATTGTAAATGAAAAATAGGTCCGATATAATAAAATCTTATAATTATCATGGGTTAGATTTTATGTATGGGAACTACTTCTCTTCATACAAAATAATGGATAATTTCGGTACCCCATATGAGGCCTCATAAGTAAGGGTTATTCTATGTTTAGAACATGATGGAATTTCCATGATTTGTGTGACGAGCCGAATATTGATGTGTAACATTCAATTATTGGTGAGTGAGCGTAATAAAAAATAATGATTAAGTAACAATGATTTTTGTACGGGAACTGCTCGCATGCCAGTAGCGTGCAGTTTGGTACAAAATCCATACATGTACGTCCATGAGATGTAGTGTCTGACTACTACTTTCACCTGTAGTTATAACCATTTTTACAATTTAGTGTTGTTCTAGTTCAAATCTAAGTCCAGTAGGCTTACAAAAAACCTATTTAAAAGGGGCGATTAAATAGTGGTGAGCTTGAGGACGAGATGACCATGGGACGAGCTAACCTGACATCAAATTTTATTAGTTTGTTTCAAGTTATAACAAATATTAATACCTGTCCATCTCCGCCTCCATTTCTATCAATCGTTGCTGACTTATGTGTGACATTTTGTTTGTTGTCTTACGTTTACGTTTTCATAAAATTGAGAAAAATATTAAAGTTTTATCAGTGTTGACAAACGCTTTCTTAATAAACTAGCACTCAATAACCGAAAAGGTCCTTTCTGCGGAAAAGGCAAATGTACATGCTGAAAATAGTCTGTCAAAATGAAAAGGGCCTATACAGTACAGTATAAATTTATGGCAGTTTAATGAATACACTACTGTTACTTATACTATACAAAAGTGAAACGTTCGACTTTTTTTTATCATTTTGGACCTTGTTTGTTGAATTAACTAGAAAACCCCCCCAAAAAAACAAAAAAAAACCATGTCAATTATCTATGCTACATTTTTGATATTTCACAGCCCTAAGATCAAGTTGTACATGTACATGTACTTAATATCACAGACATAGAAAACATTTATCTACATTTCTGTAAATATCTAGAATTGACCCAAGTTAAAAAATTTAAAGAGAGTTTTAAAGGAATAAAATTCTCTCAACTCAGGGATCATAGGTTCGAGCCCCACGTACGACTATGTTTGAAGTATTTTCGTTTACTACAAGCTTTTAAAAATTAATTACCGATTATTTGGAAGGATTACTTTTTTGTCTCAGATAGGTAAATTTTAGACAGTTTTTATTTAGTTATTTTCATTAATTTTTCTGATTTGGTTTTTCCATTATTATTTTTTTTTCTTTTTCTAGTAGGACTTATATTTCGGTTTTAATTAGTTATACAGTATATCTTCATCTACATCTACATGTTACTCCCGAACAATCAATTCTGACTATGACTGGGTGGCGCTTGTCAGGAAAAATGTGTTAAAAGTATTAGGTGCATACTAAAAGATAAAGATCACAGATAAAAAAAAGTGCAGGATGAAAGAAAGAGTGCAAGATTAAAAACATACTGGGGTGGGGACTAGAAGGTGACTGTCGCCAACCTATCCTTGAAGGCATCTAGGCTGGAACTGAATTTGACCTGATATGGAAGGCTATTCCAATACCTGAGAGTTCTAGGGAAGTAGGAATTTAGATGCTATTGGGTACGGGACTGGGGGATCTGGGGAGGGAAGGCCACCCAAGTTCATTTAGCATTTGGGTTACACTACTGTCGAAATTATTACAGACATATCTAGCCGCAGCTCGTTGGACACTTTCAATCTTATGACTTAAATGTTTCTGCCAGGGGTACCATATGGTGGAACAGTATTCTAATTGTGGTCGGACATAAGTAACATAGGCTGATGTTTTGAGTTGCCTGTTTTGGGTTTTGACGTTTCTCTGGATGAATCTTAGAGAATTTTTGGCCTTGGAGGTTAATATGCTGTGTCCAGTTAAGGTCTTTAGAGAAAGTTACTCCAAGGTACTTTGCATATTCTGCTGATTTGAGAGTTTTATTATGAAGGGTGTATGGAAAGATGGTGGGGTTCTTTTTACGGGTGATCCTCAGCACCTCACACTTGTCTGGGTTGAACTCCATAGCCCAGTCCCGTTCCCAAACTTCAAGTTTATGTAGGTTGTCCTGTAGTCTGTCAGCGTCAGTCTGTCCTATATAAATAGACTAGCTATAGTGTCATCCGCAAATAACCTGGTTTGGCTTTTGACAGTTTCTGGCAAATCATTGATATATGCCAGGAACAGACAGGGTCCTAGGACTGAACCCTGAGGGACACCGGATAAGACTGGTAGCTGGTCGGAGATTTGACCTTCCACCGCAACCCTTTGGCTACGGTGGCGAAGAAATGACCTGACCCAGATGGATACCTGTTCGTTAACACCCATTCTGTTAAGCTTATGGATTAATTTGTGATGGTCGACTTTGTCGAAGGCCTTTGAAAAATCCATCACAATCACGTCCGTCTGTTGTCCACTGTCTATGTTGTCAAATACTTCTTGGGAGAAACTCAGCAGTTGAGTTTCGCAGCTACGTTTTGACCGAAATCCATGTTGATAGGGACTGAGGATACTGTACTTGTCAAAATAGGTCACCAAGTTGGAGACTATAATATGTTCCATTAATTAAGAGGAGATACAAGTAAGGGATATTGGTCTGTAATTGCTGGCTTTTGGACCATTTGGCAAAAGTTACCACTGAAGAACGCCGAAAACGACAAAGTTGAAAATGTTGCAGGCTCCTTTTGATTGAACAGTAGTGGTATTTGAAAGCTACCTCCACGCCCCTCCCAAGCAGAACCTTACGCATAATTCAACATTTAAACATGAAAAAGATGGCAATTCGACTTTACACGCATCCGCAGATGTGTTCATACGCTGTTATCATAGAACTATTAATGTAACACATTAGTGCTATTCCATGGCAATCGCATGTGGTTCCAAAATAAAGGTATATTTACCCTTAACGGGAAAAAAGAACAATGCGCGGAACTAAATAAAATGGAATTTAGAAAGGGGATCAGAGGTTATAAAGCCTGCATATCACAGATAAGACGTCAAATAACAAATTTTAAAAGCAGGCACTACAACCTAAGGGTAATTATACAGTATTTAAGTAGAAATACTGGAACCATCCAAGTCGAAAAAAAGTCAAATAGAAAGAACTATAATATCACAAACATGTTCTCACAACGTACAATAATGTCGTGCTTAAGGGTATTCGAGGATCGAACATTGAGTCTTCTATAGAAAATGATGTTTGTCTCCAATATGTAGGGTCCTTCCTTAGCAACTTAGGCCTTTACTGAGATCACCATCCCCTTTCCGAAGCCTCAACATCAATTCCGAAATATCAAAATCATTTTCCAAACACCAAACATGTTCAGCCAGTAAAGTACATTAAAATGCGTGAATTAAAAAACAACAACGAACAACTGTCCTTTACATAAATTGCAGGTCAATGGATGATAAAGTCTCAGAAATGAAGCAGATGGTTGACCAGGTAAAGCCTGATTTTATTTGCTTTTAAATACTGGCTAAATCCCGACATCCATACTGCTGAAATTTTCCCAGATAGATAAGCTTACACGGTCTATTGGGATGCAGATGAATTCCAAGTTTAACAAATTTCTCAGCAATCAAGCTTACAGACATACAGTTCTCGTACTGTAAAAATACAGACTGCAACTTTGATTGCATGTACTCCATAGACTGTGACTCTCAATAAAGGCTCCATGAACAGACTAAATCAAACCGAGGCTGCAAACATTTTAATATTGCTGCCTTGGGCGTTCGTTAAGGAATTAATTATCTCCATTGCACATACCGACTCAAACTACAAAACATAAACAGAATCTAACCTGGATCGCCAACCATATATAGAGAGGAACATATTGTTTGCCAATAGTATGCAGAAAATGTAGATCCTAAAAACATCCGAATATAATATCGCCCAGTTAAATTCAATTAAGATTTCCGGCCTTTAAAGATAAACAGGTCATTATTGTGTTTGTGGCATTTTTTGCTGAGTGCTTCCATTATTCCTAATTGAATAATGTATATTTTTTCCTAGTATTATGACAATGACAATTTTTTTTTGCTTCTTGGCCTCCAGCCCATACCAAAATATAACACGCAGTACATTTACAGAACATAGTAAGAGCATAACAATTAATTTTAAACATTTATATACAACAAATTAATGTCAATATCGTTATATAAAGATATATTGTTACAACAGTTATCATGTTATAGATTTTACAGATATTGCTTTTTTTTCATTCGCATAATACAAAATACAGCAACACATTATATACCGAACATCACTTATTCCGCGTCATCACTTATTTCACGATACTGGCATATTTTCATGTGACCAGTGCTAAAATTGGCCAGAATCGACATATTTTATTCACCTAAACAACTAAGTTTTGTGCAAAATATTTTAAATCTCTAGATTTTAACGTAGAACAGAACAACATTTTACAAACTTCTGCATAAAGCAACAATAGTCCTTTAAGTTTGTGCATACGTCTGAAACAATCATCATTTTCCTAAATGTACTTGTTTGTTGAAAAAATGAAAATTGAATTACAAAGTTAATATAGTTTTGATATTTAAAATCAAGCAAAATAATATATAGAAATTTTGACTGAAACAGGAAAAAAACTGAAATAAAACACCATTACCGCGATTTAAATGATGACATACAGTTTTTAAAATGGCCGACATATGGTCTACGTCTGGCCCATTTAAACTGATTTTGACTGAATATATTGTGTTGTGTCATACAGCAGAAGATACCCATATGTTACAGCTTATAACAATTTTTTACCATAAGTTTCATGTGTTGTTTTCCTTCTTGTTTCAAAAAAGCGTTAAGTACCGTGAACTAAGAGGAGCACAGTATATAAGATTTTCATTAACTAAAAAAATTAAAAATGTTACAAAACAACTTTTCACCAAAATTAGGTAAAACACTACATGTTAACATGGAAAAAACTAGATTTTGGGTAATTCCAAAGTTTTTCATCATTTTTTGTTAACCCTTTACCTCATATATACGCGAAACAACACACTTTCGACACCCCCCCCCCCTCTTTTAGGCCTCAAATAGTGAAAAAATGTCCTATTTGGGCCCCAAACACATGTTTTCGGTTGAGAAATGTTGCTTAAAAAAGTGAGCACTTTTTCGGCGCCACCCCCATTCAAAAGATACATCAGGGGGTTGCCAGAAGGGGGATGTGCCCCTTCTGTTTGGGGGGTTTGAAGGGGGGCGGTAGTCCCTCTCATCGCCAAGAAAATTTTTGACTTGTGAGAGGCTAAAAATGACCCCAGGCCGATCATAAGGTAACGTGTAACCAACACTGAAAAGCCTTTCACTCTATCTCAATCCCTTGAGAAGTTGTAGCACTGATTTTTGGCAATGTTGAGACGTCCCCTCGTTGCCATGGTAACAGGGAATTTAAGACTGAGCATGTCGTTACAAGGGCAATGGTGCAGTCAACATTTGTGCCAAGTTCGATTAGTATTGAAGCATTTTTCATAGTTTCATAGCAGTTTGAACTTGTAACAGGAGGCTTTTCAATGAAAACGGCCATTTTTTTTACAATATGCTCATGAGGGAAATGGTTAATTTGCTGACATAATTATGTTAAATTTATTCAAATTTGGTTGTATGTAATATTTCGTTGGAAGGTGATTATTGCGTA